AGAAGAAAGAAGAAGAAGAAGAAGAAAAGAAAAGAAGAAGAATGAGAAGAAGAAAAGAAGAAATGAAGAATGAAAGAAGAAGAAGAAGAAAGAAGAGAAGAAGAAAAGAAGATGAAAAGAAGAAAAGAAGAATGAAGAAGAAGAATGAAAAGAAGAAGAAGAAGAAGAAGAAGAAGAAGAAGAAGAAGAAGAAGAAGAAAAGAAGAAAGAAGAAGAATGAAAAGAAGAAGAAAAGAAAAGAAGAATGAAAAGAAGAAGAAGAAGAATGAAAAGAAGAAGAAGAAGAAGAATGAAAAGAAGAAGAAGGAAAAAGAAGAAGAAGAAGAATGAAAAGAAGAAGAAGAAGAAGAGAAGAAGAAGAAAGAAGAAGAAGAAAGAATGAAGAAGAAGAAGAAGAATGAAAAAGAAAGAAGAATTCCAGTAAGCAAGAAAGTGTAATAAGAAGAGAGCTCCGCTATTTCTGAAGAAAGTTCTCTGACAGTTGAAGAATGAACATTTAAGAAGTTGAAAATTGAATGAAGGAAGAAGGAAAAATTCTTTTCATGGAATCCTAAAAGGAAAGGAGAAGATACAAAGAAAAGAAGAAGAATAAGTAAATGAACTGTTCTTCATTTTCATGTTCTTCCATACTGAAATGTCTAAGAAAAAGAAGGATTCATGCTCTTCTTTTTCATCTTCTTCTCATTCTTCTTGGAAAAAAGACATTGAATGAGGGAACTAGAGATGAAGAAGAATCCTTCAAAAATTCGAGAAGAAGGGATTCGCCGAATTTGCGGGAGAAGATTTGATTTGATGGAAGGAGAAATGAAAAGTCGTTCTTTTGAAAGAACTTAATAAAAGGTTTGAAAAGAAGAGAAGAGAATTAAGAAGAAAGAAGTAGTATCTTAAGAATTTTAAATGAAGAAGAGAAGAAGAAAAGAAATAAAGAAAAGAAGAATGAATGCAGATGAGAAGAAGATCTTAGAAAAGAAAAGAAGACTCATTTGAAGAATTGAGAAACGAATGAAAGAGAAAGAAGAAGAAGAAGAAGAAGAAATGAAAGAAGAAGAAAAAAAGAAGAAGAAAGAAGAATGAAAGAAGAAGAAGAAGAAGAATGAAGAAGAAGAGAATGAAAAGAAGAAGAAGAAGAATGAAAGAGAAGAATGAAGAGAAGAAGAATGAAAAGAAGAATGAAAAGAAGAATGAAAAGAAGAAATGAGAAGAATGAAAAGAAGAAAGAAAAAGAAGAAGAATGAAAAGAAGAATGAAGAAGAAGAATGAAAAGAAGAAGAAGAAGAAGAAGAGATGAAAAAGAAGAAAAGAAGAAGAAGAAGGAAGAAAGAATGAAGAAAAAAAAGAAGAATGAAGAAAAAAGAATGAAAAAAGAAAAGAAGAAAGAAGAATGAAAAGAAAGAATGAAAGAAGAATGAAAAGAAGAATGAGAAGAAGAAGAAGAAGAATGAAAAAGAAGAAGAAGAAGAAGAAGGAAGAATGAAAAGAAGAAGAAGAAGAATGAAAAAGAAGAAGAAAGAATGAAAAGAAGAAGAAAAAGAAGAATGAAAAAAGAAGAAAGAAGAAGAAAAGAAAAGAAGAAAAGAAGAATGAAGAAGAAGAAAGAAGAAGAATGAAAAAGAGAAGAATGAAAAGAGAAGAAGAAGAAGAAGAAGAAGAAGAAGAAGAAGAAGAATGAAAAGAAGAATGAAAAGAAGAAGAAGAAGAAGAAAGAAAAGAAGAAGAAGAAGAATGAAAAGAAGAAGAAGAAGAAGAATGAAAAGAAGAAGAAGAAGAATGAAAGAAGAATGAAAAGAAGAAGAATGAAAAGAAGAAGAAGAAGAAGAAAAGAAGAAGAAGAAGAATGAAAAGAAAGAATGAAAAAAGAAGAAAGAATGAAAAGAAAGAAGAAGAAGAATGAAAAGAAGAAGAAGAAGAAGAATGAAAAGAAGAAAGAAAAGAAGAAGAATAAAAAGAAGAATGAAGAAGAATGAAAAGAAGAATGAAAAGAAGAAGAAGAAGAAATGAAAAGAAGAAAAGAAGAAGAAAAGAAAAAGAAAGAAGAGAAGAAGAAGAAGAAGATTGAAGAAGAAGAAGAAGAAGAAAAAGAATGAAAGAAGAAAAGAAGAAGAAAAGAAGAAGAATGAAAAGAAGAATGAAAAAGAAGAAGATGAAAAGAAGAAGAAGAAAGAAAAGAAGAAGAAGAAGAAGAATGAAAAGAAGAAGAAGAATGAAAGAAGAAGAATGAAATGAAGAAGAAGAAGAGAAGAGAAGAATGAAAGAAGAATGAAAAGAAGAAGATGAGAATGAAAAGAAGAAGAAGAAGAATGAAAAGAAGAATGAAAAGAAGAAGAAGAAGAAGAAGATGAAAAGAAAAGAAGAAAAGAAAAAGAAGAAGAAAAAGAAGAAGAATGAAAAGAAATGCAGCAGAAGAAGAATGAAAAGAAGAAGAAGAAGAATGAAAAGAAGAATGAAAAGAAGAAGAAGAATGAAAAGAAGAAGAAGAAGAATGAAAAGCAGAAGAAGAGGAAGAAGAAGAATGAAAAGAAGAAAAGAAGAATGAAAAGAAGAAGAATTCCAGTACAGCAAAAAGTGTATCTGCAGAGAGCTCCGCTATTTTCTGACAGTTCTCTGACAGTTTCCTTCACATTTACAGCGGTTGAAACATTGTATCTATTTATTTCCGAATAAAAACATCTGTATCCTAAAAGGAAACAAATAGATACAATGTTTCAACCGCTGTAAATGAACTGTCAGAACTGTCAGAAATAGCGGAGCTCTCTGCAGCTGACACTTTTGCCGGCTGATCGGGAAAATTCGATTCGTGCACCCGAAGTTTTCTAAAAATTCGGATTCGATGCGAAGAATCGAATTTTTCCTGATATTCGAAACGAATTCCACTTCGCCAAGTTCGATTCGCTCATCTCTAATTGTAACAGATTTTTAGGTTGATAACATATAGGCTCATGACACAAGAGAGGAAATTTGCATGACACAGTAAAGAACTCTGCTGTCAAATAGGCATGACACCAAGAAACTATATTTTCAATCAGCTTATATGGAGAGAAGGAGAGGAGCAGAGGCATCGCTGTCACTAGCAAGTTCTGCTAACAGTGTACACTCTAAGAAGTTGTAGTAGTACCGGAAGCAGTGCCAGCAGTACAAACCCATACAAACTGTTTACCACTTCAGATTTAGAGTAATGATATATCAAAAATGTTTGCAGCAAAACAGTGATATAAAATGCTTGTCACATTGATTGCTACAAATAAAAAAAAATACTTGCTTTCAGCTGTAAGTAGTGTCAATGTTAGAACTAGAAAGAGAAAAATATTTAAAAATTCTTTGATTAATCATCTTCCCACCATTGCTTGCACACCTTAAATACTGTTTTTCATATTTGGAGAATATGAACTGTTTGCTAAAATGAGTAACACAAGAGGCAAAGGAGTAAAAAGTGTCAGTGTGTGTCAAATCTGCGGTCTCTTCAAAAATGACTGTTTAGGTAACCTGGGAGTTCAAACGCATGTCAGGGTGCTTCAGGAGAGGGAAGAAGACTTTTTAGAATAAACTTCAGCCTCACAAAAAGGAACCTTAGACATAACCTTAAGTTAGGCATTAGAGATGAGTGAATCGAAGTAGGCGAAGTGGAATTCGAGTCGAATATTGGAAAATTTTCGATTCGCGCCGAATCCGAAAAATAGCCTACTTCGGACGCGCGAATCGAAATTTTTCCTAAAATGGCGGCGGACATGTGCGGCGACGGAAGCGGGGATGTCTGGGAAGGCGCGCAGACAAGGCGCGCTGACCCATAATGCATTTTCATGACACATGTTGATCGCATTAGCCAATCAGCAGCCAGCCAGCCAGCACTGTGTAATGGTCGAGCTATAAATAGCGGCCATTTTAGAATTCTTCATTTGCCTCCAGTCATTCAAGAGAGGCAGACCGCTCTGTATTAGGGACAGAGTTAGGGCCACAGAAACGTTACTTGGGGACAGAGAAACGTTACTTAGGGACAGAGAAGCATTACTCAGGGACACAGAATTGTTAATGAGGGCCACAGAATCGTTACTTAGGGCCAAAGAAACGCTAGTTAGGGCCACAGAATTGTTACTCAGGGACAGACAGAATTGTTACTGAGTGCCAGAGAAGTTGTTACTTAGGGCCACAGAAACGTTAGTTAGGGCCACAGAATTGTTACTTCAGCGGACAGACACAGAATTGTTTACTGAGGGCCACAAACTGTTACTTAGAGGCCACAGAAACGTTACGTTTAGGCCACAGAATTGTTACTCAGGGACAGACAGAATTTGTTACTGAGTGCCAGAGAATTGTTACTTAGGGCCACAGAAACGTTACTTAGGGCCACAGAATTGTTACTCAGGGACAGACACAGAATTGTTACTGAGGGCCACAGAACTGTTACTTAGGGCCACAGAAACGTTAGTTAGGGCCACAGAATTGTGTACTCAGGGACAGTACACAGAATTGTTACTGAGGGCCACAGAATTGTTACTTAGGGCCACAGAAACGTTTAGTTAGGGCCACAGAATTGTTACTCAGGGACACAGAATTGTTACTGAGGGCCACAGAATGTTACTTAGGGCCACAGAACGTTACTAGGGCCACAGAAATTGTTACTCAGGGACACAGAATTGTTACTGAGGGCCACAGAACTGTTACTTAGGGCCACAGAATTGTTACTTAGGGCAGACACAGAATTGTTACTGAGGTACCACAGAATCGTTAATTGCACTATTTACTGAGGGACACAGAATTGTTACTAGACACAGAAATGTTACTCAGGGACACAGAATTGTTACTGAGGGCCACAGAATGTTACTTAGGGCCACAGAATTGTTACTAGGGACACAGAATTGTTACTGGGAGGGCCACAGAATTGTTTACTTGAGGGCCACAGAATTGTTACTTAGGGGCCAACAGACAGTTACAGGGCCACAGAATTGTTACTCAGGGACACACAGAATTGTTACTGAGGGCCACAGAATTGTTACTTAGGGCCACAGAATTGTTACTCAGGGACACAGAATTTGTTACTGAGGGCCACAGAACGTTACTTAGGGCCACAGAATTGTTACTCAGGGGACACAGAATTGTTACTGAGGGCCACAGAAACGTTACTTAGGGACACAGAATTGTTACTCACAGGTTACAGACACAGAATTGTTTACTGAGGGCCACAGAAGAATTTTTACTTAGGGACACAGAATTTGTTACTCAGAGGACAGGACACAGAATTGTTTACTGAGGGCCACAGAATTGTGTTACTCAGGGACAGACACAGAAATTGTTACTCAGGGACACAGAATTGTTACTGAGGGCCACAGAACGTTACTTAGGGCCACAGAATTGTTACTCAGGGACAGACACAGAATTGTTACTCAGGGACACAGAATTGTTACTGAGGGACACAGAATTGTTACTGAGGGCCACCAGAATTGTTACTCAGGGACACAGAATTGTTACTGAGGGCCACAGAATTGTTACTTAGGGCCACAGACAACGTTGTTACTCAGGGACACAGAATTGTTACTCAGGGACACAGAATTGTTACTGCTGGGCCACAGAATATGTTACTTAGGGACACAAAATTGTACTTTACTCAAGGAGTACACGATCACATAGTTTACACCAGGGACAAACACAGAATTGTGTTACTCAGACACAGAATTGTTACTCTCCAGGACACAGAATGGGAAAACTCAGTTTGACACAGAAATTGTTACTCAGGGACACTATTGTTAAGCAACCAAATTACTCAGGGACAGACACAGAATTGTTATCTCAGGACACAGAATTGTTACTGACTACAGCTCAGTGACCACAGAATTGTTACTGCAGGACAGGGGCACAGAATTGTTACTCAGGGAAAAACAGAATTGTTACTAGGGCCACAGAATTTTACTTAGGGCCCCAGAATGTTTCTCAGGGACACAGAATTGTTACTGAGGGACACCAGAATTGTTACCAGGACACAGAATTGTTACTCAGGGACCACAGAATTGTTACTGAGGCCCCAGAAGTTTTCTTTTTTGGCACAGAATTGTTACCAGGACAGACACAGAATTGTTCTGGGACCAGAATTGTTACAGGGGGACAGAAGTTACTAGGGCACAGAATTTTTACTAGGGGCCAGAAAAGTTTCTGAGGCCCCAGAATTTTTTTAGGGCCCCAGAATTGTTACTCACGAACAAGACACAAAAAGAATAAACTAGAACCACAGTAAAACTGAGGGGCCCCAAATTTTTCTAGGGCACAGAAGTTACCAGGGGCACAGAAATTTTTTACTTGGGAACAGAATTGTTAAGGGGGGCCCCCGAAGTTACTAGGGCCACAGAATTGTTACTCAGGGACACA